ATAAAAATATTAAAATAACAGCTAAACTTTCATTTAACATACCATGGGCACGGATGCGTGTTCCGCAAGAAGTGCCGGAGCGTCTTGTTGTCGACCACAGTGTCCAGAATCTTGCTCAAGGGAATTAGCCATGCACCATAGCCCTTGTTCGAAGAAGGAATTTGCTTATCCAGATGACGAGAAACCTGGTGAAGAAAGTGGGAGGAGTGGGGGTGGCAGAGGGGAAGGGAGAGGAGAAGGGGGGGTGGGGGGTGGGGGGGGGAGGTTATTAATCCAGTCCACAACATGACAAGCAGGTTGGCAAGTGAGGTTGAGTAAACTGAAACATTGACGAGGTCGAATCGACAGAAACGGCAAAAGCAACACTATACACAATGCACAAAAGGTTAGCCCAAGGACGACTGGGGACTTAAAGAACAACCAGCACATCGCCGCAGCCAACTTGAGTGAGTCACGATGAGTCACACCGGACCAAAGTGGCTGGCGGCTCCAGGCAAAACAAAAAAAAAAAGAATTTGCATTGGCACTTCAGCAAAACTTGGCGTGCAGTGGGAATCCGCCTCGTAAAAAAGAGGCTCAGACGTACTGGTCGTTTAAAGAGGGTACCGCTCATAACTTCGACTATTCTGTGCGCACAAGGAATGCAATGGGCATAGCTCAGTTGGTACACCCATAAAATGTTGAAATACAAACCCCGGTTCGAGTCCAGATGCATTCCAACCAGCGGATTGCAAAACAATCCCTCTTGAGATGCCTATGTTAAAAGCATTCTATCTTTAGCCGTTCAAAGTTGTTAAAAAAAGGCTATTGAATACCATTTGTAAGGACCTGCCAAAACACGGACTGAGAGCACAGATGATTTCTGAGTTTGCCGCTGAAATGAATGCCTTGCTGAGATTCCCGCTTTCTGCTGAGTTTTCTAAGCCTGTCTGTGTGCGTGCTTGCTGCTGTGTGTGCCTGTCTGAGCGCTTGTCGGCCTGAGTGTGTGTGCGTGACCCGCAAGCGTACTTGTTTGTTTGGGAGGCCCTGCAGGGCTGGTACTTACCTGTGGGCATGACGTTGGGGTTGCAGCGGGGAAAAACACTCGAGTGGCCAAAGGGATAAGCTTAGGGCACACTCGAGTAGCGGTAGTGTAGGCCCGTAGGCACTCAAGTAGTACGTAGGCTCAAATTCGGACCACTTTGAACTACAACTTTATAGTAATTTCATTCTGATTTGAGGGTTGTTGCCCCTTCTTCTTCTGAGAGCCTTTTTTTTTCAGAGTGCTTTTTTCTTCTTCTTTTTTTTGCAGTTGAAGAAGTGTGTGTTCTATACAAGCCGGGAACGGGCCCCGGCATCCCTTAACAATGTTGTTGTGCCCCCCCCCCCCCTTGGGACTTTTTTTTTTTTTTTTTTTCCGGAACTTCCTCTTCTTTCGAGAAAAGTCGCTCCCTCCTTTCTTTCATTGTAAAACGTACAAGCGTACTACAACTTCTTTTTCTTTTTAAATTTGGACCATTTCTCAATTTATGTGTGTCATCCTTGCGCAGGGGCCATGCTAAACTTCTCTGTATCATTCCAATTTTAATGGATGTCCCGAAGAACCGCCTGCTACAAGTTCTTCAAGGTCATTGTTCCAAGGTCATTGTTGTTAAATTTTGAAAATGTGAAATTATTTACACTTATTTACACAATGCCAGTGTAATGTTTGACAAGATGTCAAAAAAAAAAAAAAAAAAAAAAAAGCATTTACGTGGAAGTTTATATGGCCGCAAGCCTCAGGTGAACAAACATTCAACATTAGGGTTTGAATTTGAATTTGATCCTTCGAGGATGAACTTGATCCTCAGGGTTTGAATTTGAATTTGAATGTGGATAATAACATCGAGAGAGATGCGCATCCAAAATGGAAATGGCCTCGATGCACTACTCATAAATGTGCAAAGTGTGAGTGCATCTTCAGCTAGAAGGGAAAGATACATCCACTATCAACTTGTCTTTTTCACATTTAGAGAGTAGACGAGCGAGCTCATACAAAGGTTTAGTAAAAGGCATGAGCGGCACCGCATGAAGCGCACAGCCCTCTGTGATAGTGATGGGTGCGAGTGTGTTACGATGAATGATTTCCATACTTACAGCAGACGGACCGGACGAGTGTGCGGTCCGGTCCGCTTTGCCGCGTGCGGCACCCTCCCCCTGGACCGGGCCAGACGGGGCTGGTTTTTTTTTTTTGGGGGGGGGGGGCGTAACTGGTCGTCGGGCGCACATTCGTGTGCCGCACGGGTCCGGTCCGGCGGTCTGCCGCACGTGCGGAACCGCCCGGACGGCGTCCGCTTGCAAGTATGATGATTTCCAATTTTCCATGCTATTGTTATACACGCATGAAGTGCACAGCCCTCTGCGATAATGATGTGTGTGTGTGTGTGTGTGTTATGATGAATGATTTCCAATTTTCCATGCTATTGTTATACAAGGGTTATTTATAAGTTATAACTCATCTGGTTCCATTGGAATTCGAACTCAGGTCTGTACTTCGACAGTTCATGGGTGTACCAACGGAGCTATAGGCCCGTTGGTATGCTATTTTCATACAAGAACCTGACCACAATCATGTCCAGACTGACCAACATTCAACACGATGAAATTGCAAGCCATCCGGAAAGAAGTCCAAGAAACCAAATGGCCGAGTCCGGGGAGATCTTCCCATTCCGAATCCAACCTCTTATAACAACCTGGGCGTTTTCCATTGGGCATAAACTCTTCTGTAGATAAAATAGCTCTTTATCCCTATTTTTACAGTGCGCCGTCTCACAACCAATTTCGGTGTGCTCGGAATGGGTGTATCTTATCATCTCCGTCCTCATGCTAAAGCTGTCTATTGCCGGGCAGTCCTCTCTTCTTCTTCCTAGCCAACGTCACTCCAATTGAGCAATGTGGCTTAAAGCATCCAACTCACCCAATCGGGACCAACTCGATGGGGACCGCAGCATGTTGGAAAAGAGCGGAAAAGGCTCGCGAGCTATTCGGCCTATGGTGAAGTTCATGGATTCCGCCGAAACAAAACATAAGGGCAAGTGGTAGGACCAAAAAAAAAAAAAAAAAAAAAAAAAAAAAACTTCAAAAAAGAGAAAAAAAGAAAAAAAAAAGAAAATTGCAAATTCAAATATATCAGACAATGCAGTCAGAGAATGAGAGAATTGGAGAGGATAGCAAGGATAACATCCATGGTCACACACCCCAAAAAACAGAAACAGAAAAAAAAAACAAGAAGAAAAAAATCCATGCTCACGCCAGGAAATTTTGTTGTTGTATTTTAATTTCTAAAATTTAAACTCTTTTTTTTCTTACCTCGATTCCTCTCCGTTTGTCTGCACACATCACAGCAAGCACCTCAGCAGCTCTCTGCCTCAAAGCGACGGAGCAATCCACATCAACAACAATGTCTGCAATCTTTGGCAGCAAACCCGATCTCATGCTGATTGCCACAGCCCTTGAGCTGCACGAGAACAGGGATATGCACAGACAAAAGAAGTTAAGTTAAAAAAACTTATCACAGCATAAGTAGAATACTCTTTTTTATCTTTTTTCCTAAGTAACCAGTTGCATTGATAACAAATTGACAA